ATGATTAAACTTCTAAATCTAAATTTTGTTTAATTGACCGTAGGAGCTTGAAGAGACGTCAGATTCAGTTAAAGCACAATATCCCTCATTGCACACAGGCGTTAACTATGAGCACAAAACACAGGGAAAAAATTGTAGCAAAACGTAGGACTTGAACCGGTCTGATGCTCCTTTTCGTTTAGCAGTCATGGACGTCAGTTTCCCATAATAAATGGTTACATAGACTAAGAACAAATGGAATGCCTATAGAAGTTAATTGAATGATAAACTAAGGACACGGTATGACGTGTTTCAGACTTGATTCTATATGGATGCCAATTTCCTTAACTTTTACTCTCACTCAATTTTCAATTAGTTGATATGGGCGATAATATCGTCTTCCATTTCAACAATACGCTACTCTTCACTCTAATCTTAATTGAAAATCTACAATTTGCATACGAATAGAAGGCGATATCTTGTCAGTGTGCACAATGAATCCATATCAAATGTGATATGCAAATTAAATTAAATGTCCAATTATTATTATCATGTATGATGAAAGTTATGTCTATCACTCAGAGACTATGTTGGAGGTTCTCATGTCAGTTCATATCTGATCGTAACTCCAGCTGAGATGACCAAATACACCACGATTTCAAATTTCTGATATCATTTTATGTTTAATTCTGTAGCTTTCAACGTTATGTGACATTGCAAAGGGTCGGTGGTGGTGCTTAGCGATTTCTAGAAATCCAATATCTATAATTGTTCGAGTTCAAATCTGATGCAAAGCCTTCTCTGTTCGGAAGAGCCAAAACATTTTGAGCCAAACTAAATGAGTGGTCGGTTTTGTGCAAATTCTTTTTCCACAAAAGTCAAATCACATAAACATTATTTTGTGTGTCTGAATTGCAAGACCAGGTCTTCATTTACCAAATCAGGTGGAGAATAGAGAGTGTAATATTCCATTGGAGTTTCAAATTGATTCCTTAGCTATTTCACTCCTGATAGAAAATCACATAGATAAAGTACTACAGACATTATGTAAATGTGGACATTAGAAGCTCCAAGTTTAACGAGTCCTTTGTGACTTATTCAAATTAACGTCTTTATTTTACTTTTACATGAAATGAAACAATTTTCTTGTAGAAGAAATGAATTTATGGTTGTAGAATAAATAGAGACCTCCTCGGTTCTCTCTATTTATCAAGTTAAAGCTTCTAAATTTTCTCTAATCATTTGAAATGGTTTAATTAGCTTGTAAATCTCTCAAACATATCATTATATTTCGCATCTCATGTCAGAATCACTTACCAAACCGTAGCCGTTTGCAAATTATTTTAATTTGGCAAGTTCGACTAATAGCTGTTGCTTCATTAAAGAACAATTGGCACAGTTTTCCCAAGTCATTTGACCCTTTTCGTCTTTTCATTTCCTTAATTGATTAAAGAGCGAACATGATCAGTTTTAGCAACCCGATCACAGGCGAGAACCTCGCGTGACAGTGCCGCGTGTTGTATTCGAGCGTTTCTTCCAATAACTTAAGGTGTTCAACGCGCTTTGAATTTCGAGAAGGTGTGACGAAGGCTATCAATCTCCCAAATATGGTTACAAGTCTTTGTGTGAGTTGCCCGTCTGTCTAACAAGGGTGCTCTCATGGGGGTGGCTAATGGACTCGTGACTGAGAATCACGAACAAATTTGAGTTTTCATTTTGTTTCATCAATATTGGCGATATTCACAAAATATATTCAGTGCTGTCGATGTAATTAAAATGTTTTATATTGTATAACATGATATGTATGTGAGCGCGAATTTACAATCAGTTGCTTCTGAAAATGAAAATAGATGGTTTTCTGTATGAGTCTGCTTGAAAGACCATCAGAAGTTTACAGACCAGTGAAATTCGTAGATATATTGTGGTATAAAGCTATATAAAGCAACTGGTGAAAGATTCGATCAAAAAGAATCTCCAAATTTGAAATATGGCTGATTTAGAAATATACGTTTTATGTTGTTAACACGTCATGTATACAATTTTTGATTTGACTTGTTTTTTTTTTTGTCATTAGCTTTTAATATTTGCACTATGTACATGGCCTATACATGTTTACTTACGTGTGAAACTATTTCTAAATTTAACATCTAACGTTTTTGAAAGATATATTTTTTATAATCTCTGTTCTTTGTAACCAATATGATGGTATTTATTGCAACTCATTAAATATCAATTTACTCCTTGAATAATACACTATATCAACATCTAGATTTCAATACATCGCCATTTTTATACACTTTATTTTCTTATCACTAATCATCAGTAAGCCATTTAAAGTCAACATAAAGAACAAGTAGTCTATAATAAATCTTCTATGCTAGGTTGAATTTGAATGGCAAGTTACAAAGGATAATTATTCGTCACTTCACACCTATTTGTAGGCTACTAATGATATATCCCTATATTAAACCGACAATTGTATGTCAGAAGATGGCTAAAGATTTAGCGATAACAATTTTATTTGGGAGACTCAAGAGGTAGATTTCATCCGTTCACCCTTATCGACCAACGAAGGTATTCTCCAAGTGTATCTACAGCCGCCATCTTTCACAGTCTCAGTTCGTCGCCAACAATTACCTGGCTTCTTCTTTCAGCTATTCACTGTACAGGGAATAAATTACAATATAAAATTCAATTTGATGAATTGGCTAATTTAAAAGTCAAAAGACACAAAACCTTGATAATAGCAGTAGTGTCATTTCTTACAGCGCCACATAAAAGAGTTCCACTCTTTTTTAGGTATCGCTCATTATTTTTAACCCCGTATCATATGACTCAGCTCGTGTAAAGAATGGTCCCGCGGTGATATCTTGCTAGTTTGACTTCAATTATTGACACTAGCTAATTCAAGGTGTCATTCAAAAAAACGTTTTTTTACGAAAATAAAATTGCTGTATTCAACCCACTTGTCATTGTTGTAAGGGGCAGGATTCTCGGGGCTAGTTATTGTTATAAGCGACTTATTAGTAAAATAGGGGTTGGGTTTTCGTGCTAATAAGCGAACTAATTATTTTAAAGGTGTATAATTTAACAATGACCGATTGAGCTTGGTTTATTGTTCCTTTAAAAACTATTTAACATCTTCAATTTATTTAAAAGATACTTTTTTGTTCGCGAATTAAAGGGTGTTATTAAGAGTCTATGGCAGAAGCAATTAAATTTTAAGTGGAGTTTTAGAAAAAACACACATAGTCATTTTCTGTTTTGAAAAAATGTTGACATTTCTACTCTTTTTTTTTTAGAAAGTCATAAAATTAACGAGGATAATAAATTTAAGTGTCTGGCAAATAAGAAACATTAAAATCAAGGAAAAATAATTACATGTACCGTACGGAAATGTTCAAGAAGTATTCCAGCTTACGTGAAATTCAATTCATTAATTCTCTATGCACAAAATACATGGTCAATCAAATGACGACTATGCACAATCTATGGTGTAAGGGAAAGCATTGGTCCTGATGCTTTCAATAATAAACGCATAGATAATTTTCAATCTTCTAATAATTATAAATAAATTAAAATAAAATTGTGGGAATATCGATTTTTTTTTCAACGTCTGATCTATTTTGATAACCATACAAAAAATATCTAATGGGAATATATTAAGCCATTTTTGCAATTTAACAAATGCGTGTAATAATTAAAAAAAACGTCAAGCTAAAATTTTCATAATTTATTCATTCAACAATATAAAATATCAACAATAATAAGCATTGAAACATGTACAAATCAACTAAGCTAGTTTATAATTGCTTAATGAATATTCATAAATAAATTTATTATCTCTTAATTAATCGTAATGAGATCAACCATAAAACAAATAATGAACATCAAAGGCAAAAATCAAATAATATGGGCGCCGTAAACAAAATATTTATCTTTTCTTTTAATTATTCTTGCCTTTAAGAGCGTTGTTATCACCACTTTGGGGTTTTAAAAAGGGGTTTTGTAAATTAAATAATTATCTCGTTCTAACTATCGCCTTAAGGGAATTAATTAATCTCTAATTGATCTTTTAATTAATTCTTAATCGTGATAATCGCATCTGATAATTACGTCATAAAGTATTCGCATTTCTGTAGACGGCATTTTGACCAAAACATTTCTGGTCATGTTTGAACCAATAATTAGTTAAATCTTAATCATTTTGTCACACAAAAATATTAATCTATTTCTTCATGTCAGCTGTGATTTTCTTACATTTTCACTTCTGAAAAATATAAGAATTGAAAAAAAATAATTGACAGAAATATATGTAAGATATTTAATAGAAAAATGAGAAATAAATTTCTTTAATTTAGAAATCAATTGTGCAAATTTTTTTGAATTTTGATTATTTATTCATTATGTAAAAATTAAAATAAAGTCATAATATGAGTCCAGTTATATTTCAAATTGTAGGAAATTTCATTCAAAATCTCACGAAATATATGTGAAATGATCTGAATAATGTGAAATGAAAAATGTGAAATGAAAAATGTGAAATAAATTATCTGAAATAATTACCTTTTTATAAGACTTTTCAACATCTGTCATGTCAAATAAACCCTTTTTTCTCTTTCATCCCTTTTCGACCTATATTGTTGCTCATTGTTAATTTCATTATCGTCCACTTTCCTATTTGAATAGCACTTGTGTAATTCGGGTAATTTGATTGGTAATTAAATGTATTATGTCCACTATTGACTACTAATGGTCAATCAGAGTGGACGGTCATCAAATTCATATCATCGTTTATCACAGAACATTGCTTTTGGTGTCCACTGTCTCTAAGTAACTCGATTTTTATATAACCACACCACAGGCTTCAAAAAACATCACAGCCTCCTCAATAACAAGTTAAATGTAGCGTATTAATTGATGTAAGGTATCCCCTGTGCCAATGAGTTGTACGTTTGGAAAGATGACATCAAAGACGCCGAATTGACAGGTGATCGGCTGTTCATGTGACTTCCAAACATGGCAGCGGCGGCGGCAGCAGCAGCAGGAAAAGAAACTCCCATCATTGGAGGTAGCATTGGTCTGGATGACATTCTCATTTTTTCTATTTCCGCTTCTTGGAGTCGTTTGCTCTTAGCTCTTCTGTTTTGGAACCAGATTTTGACTTGCGTTTCTGTGAGATTTAATGATGCTGAAAATTCTGCACGTTCTGCTATGGAAAGGTATTGTTTATCGTTGAATTTCTTTTCCAAAGCTAATAACTGAGAAGTGGTGAATGGTGTTCTTGGTTTTCTGTTCGGTTTATGCTTTCTTAATGTTCCGATTTTACCTGGAAAGGGTGATTGATTTGGTGGTGACGAATCTGTAATATAAAATTGAACAATATTATACTTTTTGACCCATAATTTTTCTATAAAGCCAACTTTGTCTTCAACGTTATATATTCATAACAATCAATACAGAAAATTATCCCAAATTATTACTTACCAGGTTTAGGAAATGCTGGATTATAAAACCATGTTGGAACTCGAGGTGGTGTCATTCCAAGATCAGAATGAGGAACTCTGATTTCAGCTACAGGAGACACGGATTTAGAATCACTGTCGTCTGTTGAATTCTTATTATCATTTTCTCCCAAAATATCAGCCATTGAAAAAGACCTCAGTCCCGACTTCTTCTTGGGTGTGATCGTATTTTCTTTTTCCTGAATTTTCAAATTTAACGGTGGACTGTTAGACACTTCTGAACTGCAATCACCTTCATCACTGGAGTGATCTTCTTCAACGTCGATATTCCTGTCCTCCATTACTAAGGGTAAGGGTTTGAATGCAGAATACGAAGTTAACTGCAAAGCCATCGTTACACGTTTCTCCAAACTTATTCCAATCCAATCAATAAATCTTAAGAAATTTCCGATGTTTACTCTTCAAGTAGAATGTAAATACTAATATCTTCTCGCCGTGTACTTTCTAAAATCTCTTTAACTACTTTCCACCATCTTGAAATCTGATTGGTTTACTCTGTGTGAATATAAAATTACGTTAACCAATCAAATCTTATCTGATTGTCTGTGAGCCATGACGTAGGGTAATGGATATGATAATGACCTCTTTGATATCTAATACAAGGGGAGGGGAATATAGCTGGTTATTGTATACATATATATATATATAAAGTGTAAACAATTACTTACGCTTGTTTAATATACACGCATCATTGACTTAACTGAATTCTTTGAAAACATCAACGCGCTAGACACATTAGTATGAAAATCACGAAATGTGGCTGGGCTATGCATAAAAAATTGCAATCATGTCTATTACAAAGTGTAAAGCGATTGAAAGCAATCTAAAATAACAAAGAGCTGACTTCACACCTTATATTTTCTTTTGAATAAAGATCAATTACTTAAGATTTAGTGGGACTAATTACCCCCAACCATCAATCTGCTTCATTTCTCGGTTCACTTGGCCAGAGACAAGATTTTGTCGGCCAGGCGCCAAGCTAAAATATTATCAATTCTTGGTAAATGTTGCTAAACTATCGTCTTTGTGTGGTTAGTAAAAGAGAGTACTTATCGTTTGGCGTATCTTACAGAATAATCAGTAATGTTTTCATATAACTTCAATCCCGCGGGATATTTTCAAACAACTGACAAAAGACGAACTAACCAAGTTTATTTCAAGTTTTAAGATTTAATCATTTAGGAATAATTGAATTTCTTTAAATTAATTGCTAGCCAATTATCTATTGATATAGACCATCTGATTTCTTTACGCCAAATTAAAATCAAATTAAATATTTTCAACAATATTGAAATTGTAAAGAGATAGAAAGGCGAGTACTTATCTCAATATATTTATATGAAATCAAATAAATAAAAAATATAAGAAAAATGTTCCTTTGAATATTGAGGTAAATAATAATTTTTTTATCAAGCCTATCTTAATTACAAAGCTATGATAAGCCAATGATGATAATTTTTGTTTATTAACATGACAAAAGTTTTCAAGATTCCGCAGATTGTAAACATTATATTTTAATATAATTATTAACGATAGATGGAGACAGAAGATACAGCAATGAACAATTCGTCTTCTAATTTGAAAGACATCAATCTTTAATGTTATATCTAACAAAGTGACATAACTACTCGATATAAAGAAGAATATCATATAAAAAGTTCAAGATAAGAAATTCACTTGAATATCACCTGTTGTGTTTAAAGTAATTTGAATATTGCTACAGTTTAATTGAACGATAAATGAGTTAAGTCGACTTTTTTTCCTTTTTGCGATTACCAGCTGATCTCTGAGGTACAATGTATATTTGTGTTATGACGATGTTGTTGAAGTCAAAATTCAAACGGACTCCTATGGCGCCCAATTCAGTTCATTATATAATAAGAAACAAGTTCAGGTGCGTAAAATGAATTTTATGGCTTCGAAGGCACGAAGGCTACCCTTATATTTATGATTAAAATTCATAAAAAGTATATGCTATTTAGAAAACATTTTCTACTTGCTAAGGTGTAGGATGAATCTGTTCTATTTGAAGCTGTCCTTCCATTTTTGGCGAAAATATCTCAAAATATTATCACCAATATGATCACAACCCAAAAGGATCGGCCTGCATAAATTTATATTATACCAATCACGTGTTCTTCATTTGTAAAGTCTGTTGTTTCTCAACAAAATATGACTTTCCACAATATGATCTTACGTTATAGTAAACGGCTTTGAACATTTTGTCAACCAAATATTATTCAAAACCTACCCAGGTTAATTACAGGCTGCTAAAGTTGCACACGTTTCGATTTTAAAACGATGCATAATCAATGCAAAATCAAACATGAACCTCATGTAGAATGTCATAAAAGAAATTTTTACATTGGTACAGCACGTGGACTCTAATGTTGATTCACGTTGTGATGGTTTTGCTCTTTTATTGTGTGTTCTTTATAAATCTGACATCCTTTGAAATAAGTTATCAAGGCTGTGCCTAATGTTATGTTTTTTAAGATATTGTTGAAGATTCAGCTTAGATATGCCCTTGAAGATAAAGCTATATTGATGTACAAACAGATGAAGAATTAAAACAGTACACTAAGGTTACATCCCCTGTATATGCTCTAGAAGCGGATACCCATGATCATCAAAAGAACAATAAAACTGCCTACAATGATGTCTATCATATAATGCAAATTTGCCAAAACACAATTTTATGTTTTATCGGTTGAACAATTTCCCAATAGTGACGAAAATGCATAACAATAAATAAAACAAACCGCATAAATCATATTGACTAGTAATGATATGCCACCAACAGCCACGATGCGTATTAAGTCTCTTAATAGCGGCAACTCACACGAGAAAGAATTTGAAAATGGTAGTATTTCAGTCATTAATGCTGGTTAGGTTAATTTCAGTTGCAAATAATGAATATAGATCGCCTTCTATACAAAATTATTATAATAGGTCGACTGTTATTGTAGTTGATGTGATAAAGGTCGACTGTTTTTGTAAATGATGCTATATAGGTCATCTATTATAGTAAATAATGTGATATAGATCTACTATTAGAGTAAATAATGAATATAGGAAGCCTAATGATGTGATAGAAATCAACTGCTATTTTAAATGGTTTTGATATAGATCAATTCTTATTGTAAATGGTGCGATATAGATCAATTCTAATTGCAAATGATGTAACATAGGTCAACTGTTATTGTAAATGAGGTGATATATGTCAGCTGTTTGTATAAATGATGTGATATAGGTCAACTGTTATTGTAAATGATGCTATATAGGTCAACTGTTATTGTAAATGATGTAATATAGGTCAACTGTTATTGTAAATGATGTAATATAGGTCAACTGTTATTGTAAATGAGGTGATATATGTCAGCTGTTTGTATAAATGATGTGATATAGGTCAACTGTTATTGTAAATGAGGTGATATATGTCAGCTGTTTGTATAAATGGTGTGATATAGGTCAACTGTTATTGTAAATGAGGTGATATAGATCAATTCTTATTGCAAATGATGTAATATAGGTCAACTGTTATTGTAAATGATGTAATATAGGTCAACTGTTATTGTAAATGATGTGATACAGGTCATCTGTTATTGTAAATGATGTAATATAGGTCAACTGTTATTGTAAATGAGGTGATATATGTCATCTGTTTGTATAAATGATGTGATATAGGTCAACTGTTATTGTAAATGATGTGATATAGGTCATTTGTTATTGTAAATGATGTCATAGGTCAACTGTTATTGTAAATGGTGTGATATATGTCAACTGTTTGCATAAATGATGTGATATATGTCAACTGTTTGTATAATAATGTGTTATAGGTCGACTGTTTGTATAAATGATGTGATATAGGTCAACTGTTATTGTAAATGATGTGATACAGGTCATCTGTTATTGTAAATGATATGATATAGGTCAACTGTTATTGTAAATGATGTGATATATGTCAACTGTTTGTATAAATGATGTAATATAGGTCAACTGTTATTGTAAATGATGTGATATATGTCAGCTGTTTGTATAAATAATGTGTTATAGGTCAACTGTTTGTATAAATGATAAGATATATGTCAACTGTTATTGTAAATGGTGTGATATAATGTCAACTGTTTGTATAAATAATCTGATATAGATAATCTTTAATTGCAAATGATGTAATATAGGTCAATTGTTATAGCAAATGATATGGTATAGGTAACCTTTTCTTGCAAATGATGTAATATAGGTTATATGATGTGATATATGTCAACTGTTATTGTAAATGATATGATATAGATCTACTATTTATGTAAATGATGTGATATAGGTCATCTGTTAATGATATGTTATAGGTCAACCTTCCATATGGTGTGAAAAAGGTAAATTACTTTTGTAGATGATGCCATATAGACGAACTGTAAAAAATTGATATGGATCAACTATTATTGTACATAATGTGATATAATATTGATTGCACACACTATTGTAAATGACGTGAAATAGATCAACTATGATTCTAAAAAATGTGATTCCGTTTTCAATATTCAGTCTTATTTTCAGACTTATAACAATAATTCACGTTTAAATCATGTAGTAATTGAGAAAATAATCTTTATGATATCTTATTAAGATATCTTAACTTTCTAATTAGAACTATCATTTGATGGAATTGTTCTTAATTATGCTATATTAGTCATGGTGTTAGCTTATTGTAAGAAATATAGAGATACATAAATACTCATTTATAGCACATTATAGAGATAAGGAAGATAGAAAGCTATCGTACCTTTTATTAC